GCTCTAGAGGGATTAAACAAATATAGATGTCATTTCTAGGCCTTGGATTCCATTTAGGTTTTAGCAAACAGTGCCCACAAATTTTGGTACCCTGCAATATTTATGCTTGATATAGAGTTGCAACCAATTTTGTATTCCCAACGGTCGAATAGTGACCATTTTTCCTTTTGAACATAAGGAATGCAGTTTTGACAGATAAGAACTAGACCCTGTCTTCATACCATTCATCGTGCTAAAGGTAGCAAATTACCACGCACTACGCACTGGTGATTTCCACACACAATGAACATGTGAGTCATATTCATCTAGGGACCAAGTTTGATACTTTTCAAATGATTTTTGCATTGGAAATTTGGGATTGTGTAGAATTTCAGTGACAAAGAAATGCAGCAGTGACAAAGAAGCAGATGCAGCTCTATCAAAATTTGATGAGAAAGATAATCCAGCTAAAACTTTTTATTGGTGTGATTTGGAATTTTGCATTAATGGGTTATGGATGTGGAAGGGTGTTAGGAATTAGTTTTGAATATACTGTGTTCACAACAGGTAAACCATGGTGACTTGCTAAGAACGAAGGATAATATGAACAAAAATTTGTTCTAAAATGTAGTTGCAGAGAAATAAATATAGAAAAAATAATAACAATATAACTATAAATTAATTTTAAATGAGTGATGAGTTGAATTTTTATCGATGTTAATATGAAATTTTTACCTTGATATTATTAATATTTGCAGATGAATTTCATGAGATTTTACTTAATTTAATAAAATTTTCATTCTTAGGGCAGAAAATAACCTAATTGGAAGAAGGCAGAATCTTCAAATTCATTCTAAAAAAATATCGATATAGACACATCTACCCCTAAAAAAAAAGTAGAGACAAATTGTCTCTCCAAATCATAAATCAATACAAATCACCCTTTTTTAAACATTTTCCGTTAAAAAAAGCTGACGTGACAAATAGAATTCTGACATTTTTCGTTGAAAAAAGGGTGATTTGTATTGATTTATGATTTAAAGGGGCAATTTGTCTCTGCTTTTTTTTTAATGGTAGATGTGTCCCTACCGATATTTTTTTAGGGTGGATTTGAGGGTTTTGTCGGTTTTGTTTTGGAAGAAATAGGAACTTTTAGGACCAAACCAAAGAAATCAGATTTTTGAGGATCAAATTGTCAAATTTTTGAAATATGAGAGACCAAAACAGTTTTATAACTAAAATTGCATTTTGGCCCAAAATTCCCGACACGGACATTGTTCACCGGCAATGGTGAAGGTGTCGGCCCTTTGGCTTGAGGTGTCCGTCCTTTGGCTTGAGCTCTCAGCAATTCAACATTAAACTTATTATTTTTTATTTTTAATAAAAATAAAAATTTCCTAAAATGTGGTGTGGACCCCAATCATCTCCTTTCACCATATTTTCCGATCAGTTGAAACTTCGAATCAGTCTCGAAGCGGACGCAGCTGAGCGATTTCGAAAACGATTAGGAGTACCAGTTGACGGACGGCTGAGGCGTCCTCTGCTTCTGGAGGCACATTCTCTAGCCATCGCCAACTCTAGACAGGTAATTTTCATTTTGTGTTTTACAGTCTGTTTTCTTGAGATAGTAACCTCTTGTATTAGCGGAGGAAGCTGTAGTAATTTTTTGTGTAGAATAAATTAATGATTTTAAATGTGCATGAATGGTTTGGTGGGATTTTATTGTTCTTCCTACAGACAGAGAAATCAAGAGATTGTTTTGAAGACGAGGGCATTAATTAAACAATAAACAAGAAATTAGGAATAAATTTCTGTTGGGATTTTGTTAAAAACTATCAAGAAATTAGCTGTAGCATTAACATATGTAAGTTCTGAGTTGGATATATTGAACAGAGGTAATGGTGGATCATAAATTTCTCATTCGTGAACTTTTATTCAAATTCTGTGTCTCATGTACCATATGGATGGTCAATCATTCCATGTAAACATCAGTCAGTTTCATCTTCTTTTTTTTTTTTTTCTTAGATAAATTAGAGTTGAAGTTGTTGTTCTAGTGGTAAACTCATCAATGGATACTTTTGCTTACAGATATAAGGTGTATCCAGCTGGAATCCTAAAATTAAAAGTCCGTTAAACAGATATATGACTCAAGGCACATCTTCAGACGAGGCTTCTATTGTTATGGCTGGTGGAAGTGCTCATTTTATTTCACTTCTAGAACCTAAGAGTTGTTGTTGAAACATGACAAATATCTTTACATGTTGTTTTTATTATAGTGTGATCTTCATGGATCATTTCTTGTTTCTGGATAAAAGCTAATAAGATAAAGAAAGTTGCATCAATCAAACAATCCACCACTGTCTAGTGTTGTAGAGTATACTTCAGAGTTCAGTGATGGTTTTAAGGAACACATTCCTAGTTTTTGGGGCTAGAAACCTAAGAGGAGAGGCTCAGAGGATCTGGAAAATTATTATTGTAGATTGCCATATCAGTTAAGGATGTTAAAATGTATGAGTTGTGTGTTGATGCTGCAATCACTGGCATAATGACTCCTCCATTAGCGAAACTACAGGTGATTCCTTAAATAATTACCCTGCCACTTGAAAATTTGTTGGAAGGTGCAACAATATAAAGGCAAAAAAAAGGAAAAAACCAGCAACCGAATTATATAGAGTCTTTGGTGAGTTTCTACAGCGTCTGTTATTTGTGCTCCTTCTAAGCATAACAATGGATAGAATATTCAGTAATAATTTTTGTACTTTTCTTTTCTTTTCCACAGCAGAAGCTTCAGACAGTTATCTTTCATCCTCCAAGAAGATCTGTCATTGTGTTCATTTCTGTTGAATTTAATTTTCCTGCTTCCCTTTCTCTGATTTTTATTTTTATGTGAATTAGTTTTAACGGTGTGATTTACTCAGTGGCGGAGCCAGGGGGGTGCGAGGGGCGGCGCTCGCCCCCCTGAAATTTGAGAATCTTGCAAATTAGCATAAGAAAAATTATCTAGCCCCCCTTGAACTTTGAAAATTTTAGTATTTTGCCCCCCCTGAAAAAAATTTCTTCCTCCGCCCCTGGATTTACTGGAAACAAATGTTTTTTCTCTTTTTTTTTTTTGTTCTTAGATGAATTTAATTTAAGCTCGTTGGTATTAATGAGATTACATATCATATAGTTTTATTTGTAAACTTTTATTTAAATTATAAATTGTATATACTCTATTAATATATATTTTTGCTTATTGTTGGGTATATTCTACATGCATCCTACAATTAAGAGTCCACGGAAGGTGAAACTAAGAGAGAGATGACCCAAAGACACATCCTCAGAGGAGGTTTCTCTTATCATGGCTGAAGTACTTGCATGTTCTGTTGACTCTGATACTCAGGTACCTAATTTCTTGCCAAAGCCAAAGAGTTGTTGTTGAAACATGAAAAAGCGTCTTCAACTGCTGTCATTAATATAGTATTATCTTGATGATTTTTTTTTTCTTTTCATCCCTTCCAGCGATGTAGAGTTTGTTTCAACAAAGGTAATCTCAAGAACTTCATCTCATTTTTGGGACCAGAAACCCAACAAGAGAGGCTCAAGACAATGCAGAAAATTTTTATGGGAGATCTCCAGGTTAGTTATGGAATGTTAACCAAGTATGGATCTGTATTGATGCAGCAATCACTGGCATAAATGCCTCCTCCATTGATGTAACTCCAGGTGATTCTTTATGTAATTTGGTGCTATCAGTTCACAAATGTTTTGCATAGGAATTATTCTAATGGTCTAAGGTTCACGAGTAGCTATTTGCTACATGCTTTCCAGAAAACAGTTTAAACATATAAGAGTTCTTTTCCTTGTTTCATTTTGCATTTCTTCCTACTTGTTTGTAGTTCATTTCTGGTAATGCTGCTTGCTCTTTGTCTAATGAATAATAGAAACTTTCTGAAGTTATTCTGTTATTTGAATCCAGATGCTTGTATTGTTGGGCAGTCAACGTTAACAGTCATTATTGGAGATGATGCAGTAATCTTAGCTTTTAGCTTTTTAGGTCAGTTTGCAATATGATGTGCAGCTCATTTCACAATAGATTGTGACAAATATTGACTCTTTTGTGGATCTTCCATTTTCATTTAGTCATTTTTCTTTTATGGTGGTGTCTCATTGGTTATTTTTTCACCGGCAAAGATCTAATTAACTAAATTTAATCTCATCTTGTTAGATTTTCAGCATATAGATGCAGTTCCTTTGTGGGAGTCATTTTGGCAAAACTTGTCCCTGCTACATTTTCTTCCATTGCTTCTTCTTCTAAAATGAATGGAAGAAGGAATGTTGCTGAGTTTGCTCAGTTTGGCAGAGTGAATGAAAGACAGGGAGGAAGGTTGTTGACAAAATGTATGTGCCACCAACAGATCTCAAGTACTTTTGACCTGATGAAATCTCAACTTTGCCCTCAAATTTCGTTCTCAATTGCCTTCCGATGGAAGGCTTTTCGACTTTTCACCACCACCCACTCACTAAAAAATTCCAATTCCACGGTTGATTCTCAATTGATTTTGATTTCTTAAATGTCGAATTTACCCTCCTAATTTTCAATTGATTTCGCTTTTTTGGACCTTCCCTAACCCAGAAATAAAACTTCATAATTCTTCACACTAAAGCGGCTGTGGCATTTATATAACAATAATAACAATAAGTGTGCTTAAATACAAGGGAAAAGTGGGAAAAGTGCCGTCTGAATTCTGAAATCTCATTAAAAAAATTAAAGTTTTAAGTTAGAAAACATCACCTTTTAATGAGTGTTTTTAAAAATTGACTATTATATTTAATGTTTGATGTAAATTATATATACTAATATTTAAGTTAATTTAATATTTATAATAATTTGATTAAAAATTTTATATTTTTTAATATATTTAATGATAATAAATTTTTTGTAATTAATAAATTAGTTATATATATTTAATTAATTGAAAATTAATATATATGATTTACATGAATATAACATTAAATCTAATAATTGATTTTTAAAAATATTTATTAAAATGATAACATTTTTAGGTTAGAATTTTAATTTCTTTTAGACTTGAAACTGATATGCAATATATTATAAATATAATATTCACTATTATATTTATTGTCAATTAGTTTTGAATTAATATTTGATTTTTTTTAAATCTAATTCATTCGGGGCATTTTATTAATTAATTACTATTATTGGAAAACTTTATTTAATATAACCATTAGTGATTATCTTTTCATTTATACATGTAATGTATCTCAAAATTACTCATCTCATTCTCAAATATTTCAATTTGAGTAAAAATTAATTAAATTGATACATATAATATCATAGTTCTTAATAAAATAAAAATAATTATTAAATAATATAAAATTAATATTTTAAATAATGTGACTGATGTTATATTATTAATACTAAAACATTGGATCATTTATCATTATTTCAAATTCTTATTAATTAACACAAGCTGATTTTTAGATAATTAATAAGTTAACTTTGAGTTATTCTAGTCTTATCGAATACTGAAGTCATGATTAATCCAAGAGTGATCCATTGTTATCGTAAGATCACACATTCCACGTCTGATACTCTCGAAATGCAGAAGTTCGTGGTTGGCACCTCAATTTTTTTCCAAGTCGGCGGCACGACATTATTGTCAACATTTATGTCACTTTCGAAATGCAGAAGTCGTGGCTGCTTGCTGTTTGCACCTCATTTTTTTTCCAAGTTGGCGGCACGACATTATTGTCAACATTTATGGGCCGAGTCAGGTTAGCACATTGCTCCTTTTTTATACGTCCTTAGTGTCCTTAACAAAATTTTTGAGGAGAGATGAACTGATTAATTAACGGGTCAAATTAGGCAGCAATCAGCCAATCAGGAGATCTTTTGGAAAGCTGAAACAATTTGCTTTGATCGGCAACATAACACATGCAATGTCAATTACTGAGGAGCCAAAAAATATGTGACAATTATTTTTTTTTTTTCTACATATGGTATTTGCTGAATATTTTATTTAGATAAAAAAATTATTTTCATATTTATTATATAAAATCATTAAATTTGGCTCCGTCTAGTATGATTTTTGCAATGAAGAACTCTTCAACCGGTGGACATGAAATAAGGGAAGGCCTGTTTGATCATTGTTTGGTCATAAGGTCAATTTTATTGAGAAGTTTGTTATTGAAAAGTAGTTAGTATTATATAAAAAATTGATAAGTTTTATGGTAAATTTTGTTAAAATTTTATTGGGTTAATTTTTTTTGTGTTTAGTAAGAAATTATTATAGGAATAATTAGTAGGAAAATTATTAAATAGGTCTTAGGTTGAGAAGGTTGAAGAGAAAAAAGTTTCTCTTCAAAAAGAGTGGAAAGAAAAATTTACTTATCAAAAATTGTGTTAAGAAAAATAAAGCTTAAAAATGCCACATTTAAGCTCTTTTATTGTGATATTAATGTATGAAAATGCATAAATAATGCAAAAA